CTCTCCGACTTGTTAAGTTATAATACACTTTTAAGTCATGCAAGAATATGGCCTGATATAAATGTTCATCATATATATTAGCAGTTTAATGATGAAACCCGTGTCATGCCGACAATGTCTTATTCTAATATATTTTTGTAATATACTCATGCCAATAATGGTTGTCACCCCCTTCAATTTTTTTAATTGGAGAGGGGTGGGTGGGTGTGTGTGGGGTTGGGGGTGAGGAGGGTATTATTGGCTTAGTTTCTACATTCAAATTTCGGGCTAGTGAATTATTTTGTGGGCATAACTAGCCCGACTGGCTAGCAAAATTTGGAAACTATTTCGCACACTGCCAAAATGTCGGTGTATGTGATAGATTCTGGAGTTATGCAGCGTTTATATAAAGGAGGTGAGTGTTGCCTGTAGCAGTGCTTCCTTGACATTTGCAGTGTTGCCACATCGAGCGACATAGGCGGTGGTTTGGATTTATAGTTCGTGTGCCTGCTGTACACTTGCAAAACAAACTGCGATGCAGGAAAGATGGCCTGTGTATGAGAATAGTTACCCCACGACCGAAACCCAAGTGCCAAACGTATCAAATCTAGATATACAATGCATTAGTTGTATATTGGTGCATATAAAGCGCGTGCGTGCGTGCGTACGTACGTGCGTGTTTGTTGAGGCTGGGGATATATTTTCAACGTGTACGAGCTCAAATGTTTTTTCTTTAGTAGTGAGTGAGCGAGTTTAGTTTTACGCCGCTTTAAACAATACCCCAGGTATATCACGGCGGGGGACACCACAAATGGGCTTCCGTTGTACCCATGTGGGGATTCGAACCTTTAACCACTCGGCTGCAGTGTCCTCCCACTTTGCCAGTTTCATTGTCAAGCAATTAATTAAAGTTTCCACACCGCCTTTTTCTTAATTGCATTCTCACCTTCCATAGTTAAAATTGAACAAAACGTTTTTTAAATCGCAATAAACAAGTAAACATGATACGGAAATAAACTGAGCCAGATTTGTCATCTCATGTTTTATTTTATTCCAAACTTAAATTTGATCATTATTTTGTGCTATATATCTATTATAATTTACGTTGTAGTGATTTTGGGGCAACACATTACAGCTGTTACACTGACGTGTCTTCCCCATCTGTTGACGTGTTTACACCCGTGTCTTGACACAGAAAACAATGAAACTGCAGGTGGATTTCGAGTTATGAGATAGGTTTACACGAGTGTGGAGAGTACAGTTTGTTCTGATGGGTTTGTTTATTTATTTGTTTGTTTGATTTGGCAATTTTGTGTTCAAACATAACCAGGGAGGTAAACGCAACAGCCGGTTCTGTTTCAGTTCAGAATGATTTGACCGGAACAAGCTCACGCCCCCGGGAATAATAGACTGTTCCAACCAGCTTGTCACGCGAGGCCCCGTGCGTGTTTCACGGACTGCGCCTGCAATAGCAACACCGTCGCGTTTTGCCTTTGCACGCTTGCTGCCAAAGGTTGACTTTTGTTATCAAATAAGCACGAAAAATCGGGTATTCACGTACACACGCTTGTATATTTTTAATGTTTCCGACATTCACACCTTGTACCTATGTAGGGGAATCACACCCGGGTCTTCGGCGTGGCGAGCGAACGCTTTAACCACTAGACTACCCAACCGCCCCTTAAGGTGATTGACCCGCGAAGGTCCTGGTTAGAATATTGATCTTCAGTAATGCATACTTGTCATAAAAGGCGATTAACAGGATCGGGTGGTCAGGCACGCTGACTTGGTTGACACATGTCATCGGTTCCCAATTGCGCAGATCGATGCTCATACTGTTGATAACTGGATTGTCTGGTCCAGACTCGATTATTTACAGACCGCCGCCATATAGCTGGAATATTGCAGAGTGCAGCGTAAAACTAAACTCACTCACTCACTCACTCACTAACTGTTGACTCACTCTCACTCACTGATACTCAACTCACTATCTCAATCGGGGTACAGTATACTCACTCACTCACTCCTAAGGTGATAGAACTTATCTAATCGGGGGCAGTATACCGCGTCTGAGTTTGGCGTCAATGTTTTAGAGCAACGTCGGGTAAGGAAAACAATACAGACTGTATAGAAACGACTGCGATGTCCAGCACCTCCACCGGGGTAGTCGGGGCCTGCTCGTACCAGCATCGTCAGGTGGGAAACAGATAACAGAACCGGTGATGACTTCAAGACGTAACCTTATCACGTCAATATGGCCGACGTTACAACTGTGTTGTGTCTGTGTTGCGTTACCCTTTCTGCTTTTGATCCCCCACCCGAGTTGGTGGATAGAGTGTCTGTCCGGACAGGTCGGAAGATCGATAGTTCGTACAAAGGGCCCGCCTCCGTGGTGTAGTGGTTAGAGCGTCCGCCCGGAGAGCGGAAGGTCGCGGGTTCGATCCCCGACCGCGTCATACCAAAAAGACGTTAAAATATGGTACTTGTTGGTCCCTGCCTGGCGCTCGGCATTAATGGGTACAACAAGGACTGGTCGGCTCGGAGTCAGTATAATGTGTCTGAGTGGGGTATTCATGTTTCACTGCGGCATGGTATCTCAGTGGGCTAGCACTATAAAACCAGCTTTTGTCTGGGCTAGTACAAGCAGCCGCACATACACATACACACGCATGCACGTCGTCATATGAGCGAAATATTCTCCAGCGCGACGTTAAACCAAAGTTCACCTCACCTCACCTCACCTCACCTCGTACAAGGGATAGAACAGGCAGACACACACATACACACACGCACGCACGCACGCACGCACGCACACGCACCAAGAGAAATATATTGGGGGAGAGCGTGAGAGGGAGGGAGAACGAACAGAGTAAACGATTAACGTACAAAGAGCCAAAGTGTATTCAGTTACGGGTTTAAGATTTTAGGTTTCTTTCTTCCAAAAGCATATGCTATTCCAATGTTGGTTGGTTTGTTGTTAAACGCTGCACTCAGCAATATTCCAGGTGTATGACGGCTGTCTGAAAATAATCGAGTCTGGACCAGACAATCCAGTGATCAATGATGAGCCTCAATTTACGCAATAGGGATACGACTGACTGACTGAGTATGGTTTTACGCCGTTTTTAGCAATATTCCAGCAATATCACGGCGGGGGGCACCAGAAATGGGCACACATTGTATCCATGTGGGGAATCGAACCCGGGCTTTCGGCGTGAGGAGCGAACGCTTTAACCACGAGGCTATCCTACCGCCCATAGGGATACGATGACATGTGTCGACCAAGTTAGTGGGCCTGACCACAATACCCCGTTTGTCGCCACTTATGACAAGCATGGGTTACTGAAGACAATTTCTACGTAGGAATTAGGACAAATCCCTTGTCTTACAACTCAGCTGCGACCAGTTGTATGCATTTCAAATCAGTACGATTTGGGAGTTCTCACGTTGCATGCTACCCGTGAAGACTCACCTTTAAGCTATGAGAGATACAGAGGCTGAGATTCCACGAGGAATGAACGAAGGGTAATAACACTCAGCCTGCCAACATCCTTTAGCAGGAGTGAGTGAGTGAGTATTGCTTAACGCCACAGCAGCAATTTTGCAGGTCTTCGCTGCGAGCATCGTAATTAATTCAACTACACAACAAACACAGTGAAAGTGATTTGAATTAGTTACATCTCAGGGAAGGGGAGGTAGCCCAGTGGTTAAGGCGTTCGCTCGTCACGCCGAGGACCCGGGTTCGATTCCCCACATGGGTACAATGAGTGAAGCACATTTTTGTGGTACCCCGCCGTGATATTGCTCGAATATTGCTAAAAGCGGGGTAAACCTCACTCACTCACTCACTACCAACTGTAAATGGTATTGCAATTCGATAAACTATACAGTTACGTGCTTATGGGCACGTGTGATCATGAATGTTGCATGATATCCCCGGTTTTATTTACGACGAATTAAAATGGTATACGAGATGCCTGGTGAGAGGTGGTTTGCCTAGAGAGGCGGGTTGCCTTGAGAGAGGCGGGTTGGCTAGAGGGTCTCACAGTCCCTCAACCACATTATTTTCCCTAATGCTTTGCCCTCCCTGCAATGCTAAAGCCCTACATGAGGCAAGTCTAGATTTCCCCAGGTCCTGAATCTCCCAACTCACTGGGACTCCTTTTCAATTTAAATGGGTTTAATTATCAAATTTATACATGTATGTATTCAGGTACTAAGCGTTAGAGAGGCTAGAGAGAGGCCCAGAGAGAGGCGGTTTGCCTAGAGAGGCGGGCGGATGCCTGAGAGAGGTGAGAGGCGGGATGCCGAGAGAGAGGCAAGCTTGAGAGAGGGCGGGATGCCTGGAGAGGCGAGATGCCTAGAGAGGTGGAGAGAGAGAGGCGAGTTGCCTAGAGAGAGGCAGGATGCCTCAACCAGAGAGACTGCCAGCCCTCCCTGCAATGCTAAAGCCCTACATGAAGCAAGTCTAGATTTCCCAGGTCCTGAATCTCCCAAGAGACTGGGGCTCCTTCTCAATTTAAATGGGTGCCCAGACAAAATTAGGCGAGATGCCTCAGGGAGAAGCGTTAGGTCTAGCTAGAAAGAGGCGGGATGTCCAGAGAGAGGATGCGAGATGCCTAGAGAGAGGCGGGATGCCCAGAGAGATGCCCAGAGAGGCGGGGTGTCAGAGGCGAGAGAGGCGAGATGCCGAGAGAGAGGCGGGATGCCCAGAGAGAGGATGCCTAGAGAGAGGCGAGGTGCCAGAGAGAGGCGGGATGCCTAGAGAGAGGCGAGGCGAGATGCCTGAGAGGCGAGATGCCGAGAGAGAGGCGAGATGCCCAGAGAGAGGCGAGATGCCCAGAGAGAGGCGAGATGCCTAGAGAGAGGCGGGGTGTCCAGAGAGAGGCGAGATGCCCAGAGAGGCCTAGGATGAGAGAGGCGGGGGGAGTGCCTAGAGAGAGGCGAGATGCCTGAGAGAGGCGAGATGCCCAGAGAGAGGCGATGCCTAGAGAGAGGCGGGGTGTCCAGAGAGAGGTGAGATGCCTAGAGAGAGGCGGGGTGCCCAGAGAGAGGCGGGGTGTCCAGAGAGGCGAGATGCCCAGAGAGAGGCGAGATGCCGAGAGAGAGCGGAGATGCCCAGAGAGAGATGCGAGATGCCTAGAGAGAGAGGCGAGATGCCCAGAGAGAGGCGAGGCCCAGAGATGCCCAGAGAGAGGCGGTGTCCAGAGAGAGGCGAGATGCCAGAGAGAGGCAGGAGATGCCCAGAGAGAGGCGAGATGCCTAGAGAGAGAGCGGATGTCCAGAGAGAGGCGAGATGCCTAGAGAGAGGCGAGATGTGTCCAGAGAGAGGCGAGATGCCTAGAGAGAGGCAGGTTGCCGAGAGAGCGGCAGGATGCCGAGAGAGAGGCGAGATGCCCAGAGAGAGGCGGGTTGCCGAGAGAGAGGCGAGATGCCAAGAGGGAGGCGGGGTGTCCAGAGAGAGGCGAGAGGCCCAGAGAAAGGCGGGTTGCCGAGAGAGAGGCGAGATGCCTAAAGAGAGACGGGATGCCTAGAGGGGGAGTTGGCAACTTGGCATCCACGGCCCTAAGTCACCCACCCTTCAGTCCCCTCCCCACAGATAACGGTAAACATTTAACAGTATTTGTCCCGGGTTGTAAAAACAATAGTCTGGCTAAATCGCGCAGATGCCTAATATAAATAATATGAAGAAACATTAGCAACGAACAGAAACCACTTGTTGCTGACTTAACCTTGACCTTTCCCGTTGCAGCGGAAACAACAGACCCAGTCTAACGCACAGCCAAAGACATATATATTTGTAACAGGCAACCCCACAAGGGAAAAGTGTCACTCTCAAATGAAGATTCTCAGATCCGATTTCTCTGCCGGTTTGGCACGAGTCCAGAAAATTGGCTTCTCCTGTCACAGGCAGCGTATATCAAGGGAAATATGACCTCGAGATGAAGGGTCATGTCTCGCGCCGAATGTGGCTTGGGCGAGCTGCATCACCTGGGATGTTCATTACGTCTTAGAAGCTTTGATTGACAGCTGAGAAAAGATTGCGCTACTTCCTCAAACCTCGGTAATGATATATAGCTGTAAGTGTGTGCGGTTGTTGATAGCTGGACTGTGTTATTCTGAAGTTTTATTGAAGGTCGTGTCGACATCTTGGTCGGGATGAGGTAGACTAATGCTTAGCCTCTGAATATATATATAATTTTGAAAGAAACAAATAATTCGTTTCAAACTGAATAGGAGCCCCAGCAGACTCTGGGGACATTCAGACCCTGAGGAAATGTAGACTGGATTTATTTACGGGTTTAGCATTGCAGATAGGGTTGAGCGTAGAGTGAGTGAGTGAGTGAGTTTAGTTTTACACCGCACTCAGCAATATTCCAGCTATATGGCGGCGGTCTGTAAATAATCGAGTGTGGACCAGACAATCCAGTGATCAACAGCATGAGCATCGATGAGCGTAGACTTAAACTTAGTACCTGAATATATGTAATGTTGATAGTTACTAATAAACCCATTTAAATAGAAAAGGAGCCCCAGTCAGTTGGGCGATTGAACCTGGGGAAATCTAATCTTGCTTCATTTAGGGCTTTAGCATTGTAGGTAGGGCTGGGCAGTACGGAAAATAATGTGATTCAGGGACTGTGAGACAGAAAAGGAATGAGATTGTTTGTTTTCCTACAGAATAGATCATCAGTAAAAATATGAGAAGTTATATACATGTATATATACCACTCAGAGTTTGCCATATACCGATATGGTCTTAGCTAAGGATCACCACTTTGAAAGTTAATACGTCAAATTGTGTGCATCTGTTAAAATATCTAAAGATCAAATTTGCGTGAAGACAAGTGTAATTAACAAAAGATATCATCCACACATATCCAACAAACGCCAAGAGACCAAAAATCAGATCACCCGTCAAAATGAGAGTACCATTCTGACAAAAACGAATCGTAAAACAATCACGAAAACAATTTCATGGTCCAGAACAAATCAAGCCTCAGTTGAGCATGTGGTCATCGTGACACCGTCGTCTTTAGTCTTTCATACAGATCCTGAAACAAATATATCCAAGAATACCCATGCAAGTCTAGATTATATGGCAAGTCTAGATTTCTACAGTTTCTGAAAATGAAGAAAGTCTCGATCTGGGCTAAAGCTTCTTTTTCTTATATTTTATTATTATGATTTAGGAACTGTTTTTACTGTAAAATATGTTCTTTTCAGAGATTATCTATTAGTCTACGTCGTCTCTGGCTTCAGCAGAGACCATATCTATTATATGGTCTCTGGCTTCAGGGTAGGCCTATATATTGATAGTTGGCGAGGTGAGATTGCTCCACTCCCTGGAATTGCTCAGTTCATGTGGTGTTGCCGGGAGGACAAGGCGAGACGACAATCTGCAGTTCGTTCCCCATGTGTTCGACAGACTTAATACTTAATATCAGTCTTTTACAAAATGCCTGTTGGATAAGTGCATAGTTTTACATGGTAATTTTACAGATGAGGAAAAGCTATCGTTTTTCATGTCTAGTCCTATTTAATGTTAATTAACAGCCAAGATCTGCTCTGATATTTTAAAGGAACGACGCGTTCACCGTTATCATTAGTTTAATATTTGTAAAAAAAAAATAGTATTTCGTATAATTTTATATTTGTAAATTGTCTCTCATAATCCCATAAGGGATGGCTCATTTCATATACCGTTTTTTTTTTTTGTTGTTTTTGGTGTTATGTTGTTGTTTTTGTTTTTACGATGTTTTAAATGGTTATGTTGTTGTTGGTTTACGATGTTGACTCTCTGAAATGAACCATCTGTCTGCCTGTCTGTCTTAAGGTTGGTGACCACCTCTGGCCACTCCATCGACTATGGTCACGTGATGTAAGTTGGTGTCAACGACCCCAGGGCGGTGAGGTCAGACGTAATCGAGTGCACATGGACTCACGTATGCATCCAGAATGTCATCCCAGTAGTCCACACCTGATTGGCGATGCAGCTGCCTAATTCTTCTGTAACAGACAAAAAAATGTAAAATATGGCATTATGATTCGGGTATACTGGGTTTTACGCGTCCCTCGTTAGGTTTTATCCTCCGAGCCGGATGTTTGAATTTCTCGTTATGTAAATATAACACTAAAACAAACTGAAATTCAATCATATATTTTACAAACATGATACTGACTACTCGATCCGAACCACTGGTTCATAGTTCACTGACTGCAGGCTTTGTTTCCATGGGGCGGGTTAAAAATGATTCATTCTCCCTCGCAAAGCTTTATACCCCGCTTAGGCGGTGTAAGTCCGTGCACCGAGCATACGTGGTAATTGTTCAATACAAGACAAATCTTATGGATAACAATTTCTTGATTTATTTTCCACCACGTTTCTGGCCTAGTTCTTGCCCCTTCTTCAGGTAGATAATGATCATAGTGAACAGTACAGTATATAATTTATACCACGTTGCCTGGGAAGACATGGGATTCAGTCAAAGAACACCTTGTCACACCATCTCCTGGCTCACCCTTTCTCATAGATGACACAGGTAAAGGGATATTTTCAACATTTCCCGAACGATCTTCATTCAGTCAGACGTAAAATGAAACAATGATATTACTGAAAAATGACGTCACAATTTTGAAAATAAAAATCATTATGGCATCATAAAAATATACTGAGATTGCACATGACAGCTTCTTGAAGATATTTGTTACAATGATTATTCAAGGCACTTGTATTCATTGTTATTCATAAGAACCTGTCATGTTTTCATGGTCTTCCAAAATACCATTTAAGTCCTCATTCCAACGTTTGATGTGCAAGGATACACTGCTCAAGTGTTCGAATCCTAAATCATTGTGTGTGAGCTGCTCTTAACAATATTCCAGTTATATAACGGCGCGTCAGGTTATTGAGGGAAAAAAGCCCGAAGTAACTTAGATCTTTGACAGTTTAGTGAAACGAGCACAGTCCTAGAACTGCCATATATAGTCAGTCCCTCAACCCATAAACCGCATTATTGTCCCTTCCGCCCAGCCCTTAAATGAAGCAAGTCTAGATTTTCCTTCAGGTTCTGAATCTCCCGTCTCACAAGGTTTCTTTTCAATTTATAAGGAATTATCTGTTGTCATGAACGTTAAGAGAGTAAGCGTGAGTCTACATCAGCCACTGTTCTGTGTGTCGACTCAACTCACCCGTTCACTGTGTTCACTAAGATGATACACATACAGCCAGCGTCTCTTTACCAGTGTCATCCTCGATGTATTTCGTTTCTTGTTTTACGCCGCACTCAGCAATATTCCACCTATATGGCGGCGGCATTTAAATAATCGAGTCTGGACCAGACAATCCAGTGATCAACAGCATGAGCATCTATTAACGCAATTGGGATACTATGACATGTGTCAACCAAGTCACCCGATCCCGTTAGTCGCCTTCCACGACAAGCATGAGTTACTGAAGATCAATTCTAACCCGGATCTTCACGGGTCCCCTAGTCATAAGCACCCTCCTAAAACGTAGCATGTGACATCTTGTTTGGTTGAGCGGTTCATCCTCGATATGACGAAGTCGGCCGTACAGTACAAATCTCGATCTGTCGGTATGGTGAGCAACAACCAATTAAACATTACATTAACGACATTACCCCCTCGGATGACGTTCTGCAACGTATCGTGGTAAACAATGTTGCCATTGACTACAGCGTCTAGCGCTAACCTCTTAACCATCACAGACAAGCAGATGTGGTGCCCATCAAAGGATGTGGAGGAAAGGTTTCCAATGGTAGAGTGTGGGCGTATTAAGTCAACATCAGACATGCTTGGGGAGGTTGGCTGTCCTAATGAGAGTCAGGCAGCGGTGAAGGCAGGTCTATGTGTTTGGGTATGACTGAATGGATCGGTTGATATGGCACGAACGTTGCTTTATCAGCAAGAAAGAGTAAATGAGTGTTTGCTTTGACACTGGTTTTGTTAAACAATTGTTCAGTCATGCCACCACATGTCGGTTTGATGTGAGAGGAAAGTGAGTGAGTGAGTGAGTTTAGTTTTTCACCGCACAGAATAAGCATCGATCTGGGCAATTGGGAACCGATGACATGTGTTATCCAAGCCAGCGAGCCTGACCGCCCGATCCCGTTAGTCGCCTCTTACGACTGTCGCTGGCTTTGATGACACATGTCATCGGTTCCCAATTGCGCAGATCGATGCTCATGCTGTTGATCACTGGATTGTCTGGTCCAGACTCGATTATTTACAGACCGCCGCCATATAGCTGGAATATTGCTGAGTGTGGCGTAAACTCACTCACTCACACGCTTGATTTGTTGTCTAACGTCGCACTCAGTGATCAACAGCATGTAATTGATGTAATAAAGGCGAACTGAAACAAAGAAGTGTTAACCCCCTCAAACACTGTTACCATCATGAAAGTACAGATTGTATGTTATATTACAAGTGCTGACACCGCTTTGCGAAGTTACATTGAAGTTAGTCTGTCTCTCAGTCCATCAACCACGTACATTATTGTCCGACCCGT